GCTACATCCTTACATTCTGCTCTCATGCACTGGTGTGTGTTTTTAACCAGACACACTGTCTTTCCCTTGGTTCTTGTTAGATGTTCCTGATTGTCCAGCCGGCCGTCACAGTAGTGATTTCTCCTGATATCTGCGTGTGGCAGGATCAGAGCCAACAGGGAATGTGGCAATTTATGTGGTACTTTAAACATCTCTGTCAAATTTAACCTGTTTTATTAAGACAGGTGAAAAAGTGAGTAGTTGTAAGATATGAATGTGTAAGGATCATGAATCTATGCTTTTAAAATTGCACAATAACTTCTATAAATGAGAAAATCGGATGAGAAAATTATCCCTTTTAAAATCTCATTACTCCTGGATAACCCATCTTATCAAATTCTCTGTCCTGTGATATTTTTGAAGTGTCAGACTTCTCTCTGTCACATAAAGGGCATGCAGCCAGCAGCTCAGACATCTTGTGTTGAGGAGGTGACTTCTGGCAACACCTCAGGTTGGATAAACAAACGTACTCTGTTCACATGTTTTAAAATGTAAAACATGCAGCAAATAATTAAGACAAATTGTTTATTTCACTTCACATTAGCGAACTGATAATTCCTCTGTACAAATACTGACTCTTTTGGGTTATGCAACTTTTATCAGTAATTATTTTTATCTCCTGTAAGCAACGGGTGCATATCAGAGTGCACGGCAAATACAGAACTAGGCACGCAAATATCTTTTCTCTGCAACTCAAAAATCCAGTTCCTTGAGCTGAGCACATCCTCTAAGGCTATTTGTAATTGCAGTTGCATAGCAGAGATAAGAAGGGGCTAATACCATACAGCTGGGTTAAAGCCATTGTATTACCATTGCAGCCTTAAGATCATCTGAAGGCCTAATCTTACTGTGTTGTGATTCTGTGCTGCCTTCTTTATTGTTCTGTTTCATACAACTTTAGCTTAACACATTTATAGTTTATTTAAAAAATACATATATTTATGCAATGAATAAATCTTTGTGCTTCTGAGAGAGATTGCCCACTAGCAGAAGCCACAAGACCCACCACCACCCATCATGATTTTGGGCCAAGGTGTCATGGACAAAACTCCAGGGAAGACCACTTCTGGATCAGATTTAGAGGTGCTTTTGATGTTTTTTCCGTTTTTATAGATTCCAGCTCTGTGAATCAGCACTTTGTGAAGCTTTTGTTTGGATTTAAAAATACAGGAGAAATGAGATAAAGGAACTTGCTGTTACTATAATTGATGATTGCACTTTTCTCTGTAATAAGCAAGCAACCCTTGAGATCTGGGTTAACCCAAACTGGGAAACTCACAGGAGTGACCCACATAGTATAAAATCTACTCTGTACCCTCCCTTCTAAGTTAAACATGGTGTAGTTCCAGCTGTGTGGGTTCTTCAAGAACTGAATGGATCCTGGGAAATCTTTAGGAGTCAGTTATCTCTGAACCCTGAGCTAGGTGAAGCACAGTGACCTATGGGAGGGCTCAGATTCTGGGAGAAAAAACAGAAGGAAATTCCTTCCAAATTGGAACTGTTGGCTATGTTGGCAGTTGGAGTAAGCAAGGGCATGAGACTTCAATTGTGAGCTTATTTGGTAAAGCTGCAGGGGTTATGGGTCCTTACTGTTGCATGACTTGAGAATATTCAGATTCCTCTTTCCTGACACCATTATGTGGAAACACTGGAAAATTTCACAGCTTCACCAGACAAAAGCTGCGAAAGCCATCAAAGACGTGTACTACCCCATTCTTTCTGGTAGCTCTAGAACAAGAAGCCAGGGTTGGCAGGGTTTTTTACGGGTTTGTGCAGCGTTTATAGTGTTTATAGCTGGGTGCACGCCGTGCCAGGGACAGGCCTGGGCCTGTGGAGAGGCCCGGCCGTGCCTCCGGAGCTCTGTGTTCATCCTGGGCTCAGGAATAAAGCCTTGGCAGAGCTCACACCCCAGCACGGTGTTTTAGCACCGGCCTGGCCTCTGTCCCTTGCCAGTCCTAAGCAGAGTCACCCCACTGCCACGTCCCAGCCTGGAGTCCTGGTCAGCCCGTGTAGGCTCCCCCACTTCCACTGCAGCCACACGCAAAGGTGCCATGTGGGAAGCAGAGTTCAGCAGGAGTAATCCTGCCCCAAGACTCTCAAGTAATACAGGATAAAGCTGAGCAGTTGCAAAGCTGTTTGGCTGCAGAAGGATTTCCCAGGTGTCAGGGGAGCCCTGGAAAGGACACAGCTGTGTGGACAGCTGGGAATTACCCTCATTTCTCCTCCAACACAGGAAAGGGCAGGGAGGGAAAAGGGCACGGCTGGAGCACTGCTGTGTTCTGCAGATCCCTTGGGGCTGCTGCAGCTAAAACAACTTTAATTTGCTCCTTGGGTCCCATCTGCTGTCTGGGACGTGAGGAATCAAGTTATCATGGAGAGGCCTGTCTGTTGTGTGGAGATAGACCGGACAGCACGGCAGGGCTTGGGTGACAGGTGTCTAGACAAGCACTCTGAGCTGCCCCTGGACTCTGTGTGCTCTGGTTCTGCTCAGCAGCAAAGGCTCTGCGATGCCAGAGGGTTCTGAGTTGGAAAATTCTTCCTCAGTGCCCAACCTGCTTCTCTGAGTGGAGAGGAGAAGGAGGCTGAAGGGACAGCGTGGTGAGTTGCCCACAGAAATGCAGTTGCACCAGATTCAAGACACTCTAATGCTGATGGTCTCTTTAACAAGCTCAAAAACTATCAGCATTTATGGAATTGGAAAATGAATTGGGTTAGCACAGTGATGGATGATCTGTGAGACAGTTTTGTTGTTTGGAGTCCAAGTTCTGCCTGCATTTATTTTCTGGCAAGTGTTATACATTGTCATGGACAATTCTTCAGCCTTAATTTGAGTGTTTCAAGTGCGTCTGCCTCCCTTATTTGTACGACTGAATCTGTAGTTGAAAATCAAAGTGATAAAAAATAACATGACCAATACGAAAGTTATAATTATCAATAACAATTTTTCCCATGGGAAATCCATTTGTGCACACAGTAGTCATCAGAATAATTGTATTAAAGGCAGCTTATTGAGAAAATAATTAAGAGTTTAAGCACATATTTGGGTAATTTCTGAAAGAATTAAGAGGGAGGAAGATTTCTTCTGAATAGGATTCTGGCTTCCTAAAAATTATCTAGCTTTCTCTGTCTCACTTGGAGGAACTCATTTCAGTCTTCTGCTCTAATATGCAAGTTTTGTCCCTTGGTCAGGGATGCTTCATTTCCTGAACACTCCTGATACTGTTCCCAGTGCATGTTTGAAAGGTCCTGTATTTTTCTTTCCCATACAGTTGTATAGAAATGTGCAGATAGTTAAAAATGTGCATGCACTGAGTTGTATATGTACATAAAATCCCCACACTCACAGTATATTTCTTGATTGTGTGTTTGGTGAAAGAGGCAGTCAAAGGCCTCTATTTCACTTAGTACAGTTTTTACTTAAGTCTTGTCTTCAGTATTATATTAAAGGCTGTATTTCAAACTCTTGACTTAAGTAAAAGAGCATTAGCTGTTTGTCATGGTTACAAGCCTCACTGAGATGCTTCAGTGCTGGGAATTCAAAAGGCCTGAACACAGCTGTGTTGGAAACAGCACAGGGGGTTTTTCAAAGAGCTTCACCTGCAGAATTGGCATTTTTGTGACCTCTGAGGTCGGGCTGTTATTTACAGAGTTCAGCTCCAGGTTTCTCATGTGTTCTTAAAGGTTTTTTTTAATAATACAGGGTTCTGGGCCTCAGTTTTGTTCCTCCTGTGGCACTGTATTACAGCAGGGGGTCTGGAGAACAGAATCCCTGGGAGGGGAAGCCATGACCTGCACGGTGACAATCAATAGCATCTGACAGCCAGTTGAGGCCCCAAATCCCCTGTGTGACTTGCTGTCAGTGATGAGGCTGGAACCTCAGATTTCCTACCCAGGAGCTCTCAAGTCAAACTTCCTTCCTTCAGTCGCCACATCACACTACCCAGCTGCTGGTGTGGGTAAAGCAAAGGGGGTTTATTTATACGCTTGTGGTTTTTTCTTATTGTAAAGAATGGCTTTATGGGGATCACTAAATAGTGCTGAGAAATAAGTTTTAAAATGCCTGTTGACGTTTCAAGGACTGCAATGTCCATGCTACACCAATGCCAAGTGTCTGCTAACCTCAGAGTCCATGTAAAAGCACTGTGACGTCTGTGAGTAGTAAATCTGCCATCCTAAAGGAAACAGATGTTGCTGATCCTATCGGTGTCATTAGGTGAGCACAGTGGGGCGGGTGGCTCCGTGTTTCCCAAGTGAGGAGCCTGATGGAACACGCTGTTAGCAAGGGAGGGCGTCAGGGAGGGCATTAGGCAATGAGACGTGACAGTGCCTGTAATGCCAGGATGTCCCTGCGCGGGGAGAGGGAGTTGCTGGGCACTGAGCTGACAGCCCGACCTGACAAAAGGTATGCTTCCTGACGTGCTTTCTCAGGATCCAAAAAAAAAAAAAAAAAAAAGCTTCCATGTAAATAGACAGGAGCAGAGCTTTTTAAAGAAGTCTCCCAAATCTCCACATCAGTTCTATCTTCTCTTGCTCTTCAGTAAGTTCCAGGGTTGATTTTTCTTTTGATCAAACAGAAGAGACAATGGAGCAAAAACAGCAATTTAAAAAGTACCTCGGAAAGTACCTCGATGTTGCAAGTGGAGACATTTGCAAGCTGGCTCCCAATTCTAAGACTCCCCCTAAAAAAAAAAATCTTTCTTTGCAAATTCAGGATATTTGAGAGCTCTGCAGATGTTGCAAAGAAAGGTGAAGAAAACAGCAACCGTTCAGCAGGATTCTTTTGCACCTTTTAATTGCCTAACATAGTGTGGATAGCAGACACTGCTGCTCAGGAAGCATTGCTTCCACATCCATAGTTTCTCCTGTCTTTGCAGGGCTGTGTGTGGGAGCAGGGATTAGTGCATGGCCATATGGGAGGGAGCTCAGGCAGAACAGTTTCTTACTGAGCCCTGCTGCTGCAATGGTGGAGACGGCAAAGGGAGCAGGAAATGAGGGAGGAGGGGACAGGACTCCAATGGAAGTGATACCGGAATCCCCCGAGGAGCTGAGGGGATGAGGACATGGAGGCTCTGACCCCTCCACTTGCCTCGCAGACCCCAGCTGGAGAGGCATTTTTAATTAATTTATCAGTGTGAACTCCAGAATGATGTTTTTTTTCTCTACTTCATGGGATTTTCCACTGGACAAGAAGGATGTGCATTACTGAATAGGAAACTGAAATGAAGGTTGGTTGTTTGATATTTCTTCTGTAAATCAGCAGGCTGGATCATAGCTTTATATTCATAGCATATAAAAGTGAGGAATCAGCTACTTTTGACTACATCAGTCCTCTGCCCTGGGCACCAAGAGCCTGGAAACTCCTAAAGGGGAGGGGTAAGTGGTAGGGGAGGGGGTGGATTGTGTGGGAGCAAGCCAGGACTTTATACACTCCCTGTTTCCTTTATCCAAGATCAAATCCTCTTCTACAACATTTGTGAGGCAGCTGCAGACTTACTGACCTCGCATTCAATCAGTGACCCATCAGTACTGCTCGGTTTAAGAGAGCTGTCTTTAAATCAGCGTTTGTCCTGCTGCCCAGAACTTCCACAAATCCACGTGGAAAAACCCTGACACTCAAATCAGCCCCAGCTTTTCATCTATAGAAGGAAATCTCAGTGACAGAACTCTTCAGATTTGCTCGGATCAACGAGAAAGAGAGGTCCCACTGAAATCTGGCAGATCCTCTGGGAGCTGTGGGAGTCAAGGACACTTTTCCCCAGGCAGGCAGCTTTTCCAGCCAGCTCTCTGGCTGCATGGTCTTTCCCTGAGACACTACATGGGAACTATGCAGAAGAGATAATATGGTCCTCTGCCAATTAATTTTTCCTGGCATGCTTCCATGGGCCCCAAGAGCAGAAAACATGTGAAGAAGTAGGAGGGAAGATCTGGCTCTGTGTCTTTTCCTGAAAAGCTTGCTCTGTTCCACACTACTGGCAGTTCTCTCCCTTTATATTTTTCCTAATGAAAACTGAAGTATGAAGTTAATTAATTTTTTTTCCCTGGGAATGTTTCTTGAGCTATTATGCATGTTCTTTCATTGTTTTGAAAGTGTTAACCTGTTTTATCTCCCAGTGGCATCTTTATTCCCTTTATTCTCGCAGGTCAGTAGACCAGCTAGTAAGTCAAATTGCCCTCATTCTGTTCTGCTGCTTTAGAAAGATAAGAGCTGGGAACTGGGTAATATCTTCTCAGTGCACTCCTGTAAGAATCCATCCAACCTGCTGCCTTTTCTCATGGCTCATTGTGCAGCAATTGGTCTAAATACCTGTCTCCAGTTACTTAATAGAAAGAAACCAACAGAAGAAATGGATTGCACTGAAAAGGAAAAGTCTTGGAAGATGTTTCCTACCTGTATGAATCCAACCTGTAAGCACTTAGCTCAGATGGGATTAGAGGATACAAGGGAGAAATGGAAGACTTTCTCTTAAGATCCTTTCTTAATGCTCTTTTTCCAAATGCACACTGACATAAATTTCACACATGCACGTGCTTATTCCATCTGCCTCAAAGCAAAATCAGTACAGTCTGACTTTTTAATAGTATATCATAAAAAAACCCCAAATACGAGAACCAAGGCATAATGAACCTGAACTTTATGCAAAATAGATAAAGGAGCAAAATTTCTCTGGTGACTAATCAGTTTATGCTGACACTGATGCTTGCAGTTGTTCTCCCTGTCAGCGTGTTGCTGTTATACATGTACATGTCTAATCATTTAAAAAAAAAATCTTCTAAGCTCTTTGTTTCCTTTGCTGAACTATTTGTTCTCAAGCACAAAATCCCAGAGCCAAAGTACATTGCATTAATACGCATCTAAAGGGAGTGGAAACTGTCACTGGTTACAAGTGGATGTGCCTGGTTTCACTGGATGATGATGATGATGCAGATAAAAATTTGTCTCTCATTCTCACCTGTAGAACACAACACTTAAACACACTCCATTTCTAGTTTCTCTTGTTTTACAGTCTTCTTTTGTGCTCTTTTAGATTCTTCTCCCTAATCCTATTTTGTTTACATATATATGTATACATATATTTATGTATATATTTTAAGCGAGAAGCGAAAATGCAAAATAGTATTTAAGCTAAGGATCTACTGCTGAAAATATTGTCATGTTTTCCGTGTTTTCCGTATGCTCTGTTTGGTTATACTGTGCTGGCCTCCTATTTAGTTATTATTGGTATGTGCCCATAACTGAGCAAACTGCTTGATTTGAAGTCCATCTCCTAAAATCTGCCCCTCACATCAAACATACATTTCATCATACTTTTCTTATCTTACAAAACCCACCTGAGCTGATGTTGATTTAGACAGGAGTTCCTAAATTCAGTTTGTTTGGATAGTGTGCAGCAGTCATAATGGTCCTTGTGAAGAACCCTGGGGAAATTCCCTATTTTCCGACTCCAGTGCAATGTGTGCCTCTTCAGTATTATCTTCTGTAGGGAAAAACAAGAGTATCTCTGTACATAACTACAACACAAAGTGTAGTAAAACAGTGTTGCTTATTTACAGAGAGAAATTTACAGGGAGAGAAGAAGACAATAAATTGGTCCAATTTTAGTTGCTCTTCATAAAGTGCCGAAAAGTGTTCAGACTGTGCGTTGGCCAAAGCGATGCCACAAACTGTGGTGTAGAACAAAACCCTCCAATACTACATTATGTTAGAATAACCAGTAAAGTATTTTCTCTTGCAACTCTCAAAGGATGATTTAGGATGGATCTAGTTTTTCAAGGTGTAATAATACTCCCCTGAGTCTTGGGTGGTTTTTTTGTGATGTTATGTGACATACAGCAATAGCTGGAGAGGACACTGTGAAGGCCCAACTCAGATTTTAGCAGTGCTGAATGTTTACTTTTAATGTTTTTACCTTTTTAGAATTTACCACATATTTACAGAAAGTAGTAACCACAAACTGAGAGAAACTCTGTCAGTTAGTATCACAAAAAAGAAAACTCTGGAAACAGATTTCATGCTCTCACATATTCAGCATACATCTGGTTTAGGTTTGTAAGACTTAGATTTCAATATTTAATTAGATCTTTTATTCTGCCCTGGGATCTCAATGGAAAAGGATGATACGCAAATGAAAATTACCTTAGAGAAGTCATGGCTTTTGGCCACAGATTCAATCAGATTGCAGTAAAACTGTAGGTGAACAGTAGCTAAAATACACCCATTGTATTTTTGGAATGTGCTTGCTGAATGGACTTTGAAGCCTTTCCAGAGCATACAGGAAAAATCTGTTCAGAATTTCAGAAGTTCAGCAACTGTCTCCAGCTGAGTCACATTTATAAACACTGGACCTTTCAAATGCTCCAGGTCAGATGATTTTTCTCAAGAAACATGCCTTGCTTCCGTACACACTGACTTCTTATTTACTTTGAACATATATATTTATTTTTTTTGTCTGTTGGTTTGGGGTTTTTTTTTCCATTTATCATAAGCTTATTCTGATGAAAGCTAAAATGATTTTTCTGCATGGGCATTATATATGTGAAAATGTCATGATTATCTTTACTATTTAAAATGAAATTTTGAGAGGTCTCTACATCCCCCATAATATTTATATTGGTATGAAAACTGTTTCCCAGCTTAAGCCAGAATTTGGATCTAGAAACCTGGATTAATTTTATCCATGGGTTTCTCAGTTCCAGTAGAGAATACTGAAACCTTACATAGATGTTTTTCTGAAGGTTGTCTTTGTCTTTTAATGTAAGTAAGTGATCTTGAACAGTGTTTGCTAAGTCCTAACATTCAGCATTTTCTAGACTTCCTGGCTCTGTGACTGAACTTGACCACCAGTGCCTGAGATACACAGGAAAAAATGCAATATAGAGAGTACCTGAAGCATTACCTTTTTTTGTTCACTTGAAAATGAGTAACTGTGTTATAACTTGGTTTCTTGATTTTCACTGAAGCAGGTACAGAGCATGGTAGTTATTCCACCTAAGTCCAGCTCCCAAGGGGATTACCAGCAGCAAAGACTTAGTGAGCAAAACATGCACTACAAGGGATAATGGCTTGCTGATTTGCTTATCCCAATAGTATTCCCTAGACAATTATATAAATTATTCTGAAAATGCTGGCTATAAAACAATGTAGTTTGTCTATTTTACTAATTTAAGTGATGATATTTATTAAATCTAAAGCTGAACTGCCTAACTCTCCGCATCCTTCATAACAAAGCTCTCCAGCAATGCATGGCAAGACCTTCAGTGGAGTTGCACCATTATACTCTTAGATTTTCAAGCAAGGTTTATTAACTGTGGATGAAAAAAGCCAGTGTCGATTTGCTTTGTTCTTCATTAGTTCTGAAAACACTTTGCTGTGTTTTACAAACACTGCAAAAAGTTCTGGCTTCCCATCTTTACTAGCAGTAACAATTCCAATGGCAGAGGATGGAAGCAGCATAATAAACCAGACAAATGAGTAAAGGTGGAAAAGCACAGGTATCGAGTCCAGTTAGCTCCTATGAAGCTCAGGGGAATGGTAAAATCAATGATTTCCTCTATGCAGGCGAAAGAAACATATAAAAAATAAAGTTTGACACAACTCCTAGAGAAGGGATGAGGTAATTTTTTAGTATGACAGAGGTAAGTACAAAGCACATCTCAAAGGAGTACAACTGGCAAGGCTTCCCACAGTGCAAATAAAGAATTCTAGGAAGCTTCTTTCTTTCTAAAGCAAAATGCTTCCTGGTTTCCCCCTATAACATTACCTCTCTGTGATAATTTGACTGATTAATTGAATGGCACTGGTTTAATCTGCTCCCAATTTATTACGCTCCATAACAAAATGACATCAAATCTCTGGGTGCAATGTTTCCTGATGTACAGTCAGATGTAAAGATTCCTGGAAACTCCAGTTGAGCATCTCACCCATAACATTTCTAACCACAGCAAAGAGCCAAGGGGTTTGGGGGTTTGGTTTTTCAGCTTTTTCCAGTTGTTAAACATTTTGCTCGAAAATTGAAAAATACTTTTTTTCTTCTCCTTGTAGCTGTTCAATCACTGCTTGAGGTTGAAAAAAAGTGTTTTGGAGCAGATGGCAAGAACATAGGATTTAAGCAGGGGACAGATGTAACCATATTAGGGAGCCTGGAAGATAAATCTCTTGAAATCTTGTGGCAGACGTGATGATTACTTTGTTTACATAGATGAAATATTGCTAGTTTCAATTAACAGTTGCTGTTGTCCATATTTGGGATTTTTCCCCTTCAGATGGTCATTAAAACCTGTTGTAAATCATCGTGCTTGTGCTGCTTCCATACTGTGCATAAATCATGTAGGCATCCCAGCATCTCCACTCTTTACGGAAAAATGTAGATGGATATTTACACAACATAAAAAATGGTGTTTACTTCCTTTTAAGCAGTTTACCAGTAACGTCTCCAGTGATGTGCTGTCTCCGATGATGGACCGGGGAAGCAGAGAAGGACATCTGCATTCAGCCCCTGTGCTGCCGATCCCTGCTTTGCCTCTGGCTCCCTCCCCGGCGCTCTCGCAGTGTCCCTGTCTCGAACGCCTCTAACAGAAAGCACGTTTCTGACTTCCCTACATCTGGGGCGTGGGAAGGCAGCACAGTAAGAGAACAGCACTCTCTTCCTGTGGAAAAATCCGTAGGTTGCGTGAGAGACAGTGAGGAAATAACGTGTTATCTGTGTGCGGCTTCCTCGGGGCTGAGACGCGCGGGAGAGCCCTTGTTGACCTTGGGGAAACAATGTTTTGCAGCTGTAAAGAGGAAGTTCTCTTAAAGCGTGTGTGTGTGTGTGATTACACTCACTTTACATGTAAATGCATGTATTTACACATATACCTTGGTGAATTCAGAAGCTCCTGCTTGAATACGCTCTTTTTTAAGTCATGATTTTAAGAATATTAAGAAAACCCCCCGAGCCAATTGGGACTGCTATAATGTTATAATTCTGCCTCATCCCTTCATTGCTGATGGAACTGAGAAACAAGGAGAGGTGTAAACCTAAGGAGGTGTTCTGGTGTTAATCACAACACTTCTGGGAGCAAATATTAGCACATCAGTTGAATAGAGTGAGTGAGGGGCGCTGTGAAACATCCATCCACTCTTCAGCACCGCAGTCTTGGTAACGTTTTCCTCCTCTAAACAAGGAGGGTGTCAGTGTCTGTTTGAACTAGATTTCTCTGGTACAGACACTTTAAGCCACTAAAATACTCCTTATGCTTAGTTTCAAGTTTAACTGAACCAGCTGAAAGTTCCATTTTGATTGAAGGAGGAAGCTCATCCTCCTGATTAAGGCGTAGAAGCTAATATATGCTTTTTATCCCTCCAAAAGGAAAGAGGAAGAAGGTGATGGTTACAGCAAAGTTACATTTTCCCGTTCTGACTCCTATATTCCCCTGTAACGAAGGCAGGGACACTACAGAGAATCAAAAATGTGGGAATATGTAAGCGTAAATGTCACAGAATACACACTTTACTAGAACGTGGATATTAATTGCACTGTTAATTTTAATTGCACTGCATTTATAAAGTCACACCTGTATAGGTAAGCACTCCAAAATCAGGAAATAACAGAATTAGGGTGGCAGGTGGCAGGTGCCACAACTGTGCTGCAATCTTGAGAAATGATACACAGTTTCGACAGAAAATCATACAATTTTCCTCTCGTAAATTGACAAGTAAATTTAGCAACATTTTACATTTGTTTAGCACATCTCACCCTGATGTACTCTGTGAATTAAGTGCAGTCAGGCTTTAGTCAAAGAGCAAGAATAGAAAATAGCACTCACAGGTTATATAAATAAAATATTTTCTACTGTATCCTCATTCCTTAGGGAAGTATATGCTTTAGCAGATTTCCAGTTGGGACATCTCATATCAGACTGACTTTAACTAATGACTTTTTATGATAATAACTGTTTCTAGATTCAGGCAATGAAAGAAGAACTTTACTTAGTGCCAAGCAATTAGTAATTAATGAAGTGCTAACTAGGTGCCAAAATGTAAGCTCTAGTCTTTCAAATCATTGGTTACCAAAACAAGATTAAAAAGTATCTTTAACACTGTACTCAGGAAGCTCAGCTGAGGCAAGGAAGTTAATTTGATTTTATATTAATATATAGTTTTACTCCCAGAGGTTTGTATGCAGCAGGATATGTTCCATCATAATAAAGCACTATTTCTCTTTTTCTCTTAAAATGTGTTGAATAATTTGGATTATAATCCGCACAAGCAGAGATGATTGTATTACAGTAACTTACATGAGAAGTGTTTTATTCCCAAATGCTTATGCTATCTTCTGTTAATGAAAGAGTACAATAAACTGTAGTCTGCTGGCATTTTTGTAGTCTTCGAATTCCCAACAGCAAGTGCCCTGGATTGCAATCGCAACATTTCATTAGAGCTGCCACTGCAAACACATCGTGGTTTGTTACAGGAGCATCCACATTTGGTGTTGCCTAATGGAGAAATGGTTTTCATCTGTGAAATTAAAAATATATGGATCCATTTCCTCTTCTCAGTCAGTAGAGAATGTTGAAGTTGCAAGCTGTTGCTTTCAGAGGGAAATGTCATATCCTCTGTAGTTTGAGGGGGTTATGTACGGTGAACGAGTTACACTCTCGCAGAGAGACGCAGCTTGTTGGGCAGTGGATTTTAAAAATAATCATTGCTGACAAAATGTGGGATAGGTATGTCCAAAAAATACCATAGTAAATAATTATTCAGAAGAATGCTGCGGGCTGGCTTGACTAATACCGTTTCTAAATTTGCTCTCTCAGGTGTAAGTGGTGATGGCAAACATGATGTGCTGTGGGCTGGAAGATTTTCAGCCACCTTTGTTTGGAGCTGTTCCCAGGATCATGTTGGATCAGGTTTGGCCCTCTGCACCCTAACAGGCTGCCAGTCATGAGGGACAGCAGTTTCCTGTTACTTTTGGCAGCAGCTTTCTTCATTATAACTAACTATTTTGCCACATATTTTTATCTTGTCATTTCCTCTCTGTTTGATGCTTCCTGTGATTTGAATATTTAACAGCGCAGCTGCAACATTCAACTAATAATGTGTTTTAAGTGGAATATTTAGTATAATTGGGGAAACACCAGCTATGTGTGTAGAGTTGGCAACTGAGTATTGGAAGGTGGTTTCTTGGAAAAGATTTTGGAATCATAGGTGAAAAACAACTAAACATGGGACTCTAATGTAAAACTGGAGAGGAATTGGGCATTGCAATTTCACAGTCTGATGTACATTCTCTTCCCCACTCATTCTTTAAAACTATCTCCTATGAAATGATGCCAAGAGAGCCAATATTTTCTAGTTGTCTCCATTTGATCTCTTGATGTTTTGCATGCAAGGCTGTGTTCATACACTGAGGAGAGATTTCTAGTGAAGCAGTGCCTCGGATGTCTGTGCATTTCCTAAACTATTGCCCTTGTTTTAGACCCCTCTGCAGTGTCTACCAGGAATTCTTTCCTCCACTCTCCACTATATTGTACTGATGACTATTTATCACTATTGAATATCACTATGTTTTCTTCCTACTCAGTTGAGTCACTCCAAGTATCTTCACAATTCACCCCACAATTGTGAGCAGTTTTATGTCCGCTACAAATGTTGTCTCCTTCTGTACAACCCTTTTTCTGGATTATTTTAAGGGTATTTACAGCAAAACTAAAAACACCCTACTCTTTTGGTTTTTCATTCATTATGAATGACTACACATTCTGCTGTTCAATCTCTGTTACTTTTTGGCCCATGACATTGCTTTTTCCTTACAAGCCACTGTGCAGTTTTTCTGGAAGCACTTAGTGAGAGGATTGTAAAATGTCTGGAAAAATTTGTCACCTCAGCCACATATACACCCCTTAAGTAATGCTGAGAAGCTTGTTTTATGAGATACATTGTCTCCTGCTGTAGTGAGGAAGAATAGCTTACAGAAATAATTCCCATTGCTTCCCCCTTCTGAGCTGTTTTTACTACTTTTTTCCCCTCTTATCCCTCAATGATCTTAGAGCTCTTTTGCAACCTTAGCAATTCTATGATTCTGTAATATTTTCTTATTTCTCTGTTACAAATTGTTGTGTTTCCAAATCTGGTGAAACATTCTTTCCATCCACTGACTCACCTGTTGAAAACCTTACAGCAGGATGGCATTTGGCATTTTATTTTCCTTTCACTTATCCTGGTTCTGAATGAGTTTGACACTATGCCAGATTACCATGGTAAAAAAAAAACAAGTGGAAACAATGTTCTCTTTCTAGGCACAAAGCTTTATTAAAGGTGGGGAAATGGCACTGTACCTAAAAGTAAGGCTTTTCTGCTTTATTGTCACACTTGAGTTTCTCAAATTCTTCCTGCCGTATTTGAAAGCTGGTACCGTCTTTCCAGCCTTGCTGGACTTGTTTAATCTGGATCCTGGTACCTATATTCTCACCAGTCTGCAAGTCTGTTAAAAAGCAGGCACTGTGCATAGCAGGGGGCTCTATATTCCATCAAAATCACAGAGCAGGTGGCCTTAGATTGCATGGCAGCAATGGGTTACCAGGTATACAAATTATTGAGTCCATTTCCCACGGCTGAAGGAAGCAGTGACCATCGTAACTCTGTGACAGGATGAAAATAAGTCAATTCGCTACTTAATGAGATTAGGTATTGCTTTCAAAGCATTCTGAAGACGTATAAACGGCAGCTATTAATTACTCTAGTAACTGGCTGGGGCTGGAGCCTGCCTGGCAGGGGGTGCGGATGGGAAGGTGGCAATGCCAAGTCCGATCTCCATGGCAGCAGCACTGCCAACTCTGGTGACTTCAGGGCAATCGTGCAAAACCTTGTGGTTTTCTGAGGGCTTTCACTCCCGAAATGACGCAAACACCTTGATGGCCTTGCTTTCAACCCTTGTAGGCTGATCGTTCCCTAACGACTGTGGGAGCAGAGAAAAGTCTTGAGATTCACTGCACTGTGTCCCTTCAGGACGGAGTTCTTAGCAATGTAATAGTTTTTATTTTGGGGCTAGTCCCTTTCCTTGTCCCCGTTGTCTCCTAAAGGCAGCGGTGCCTCACGGAGAGCTGTTTGCCTTTCCGTGCCTCGATTCCCCCGGCAGCGGAGCTGGGGAAGGGACTGGAGCACCAGTCTGACGAGGAGCGGCTGGGGGAGCTGGGGGGGCTCAGGAGGGACCTTCTCACTCTCTGCAAATCCCTCACAGGAGGTGCAGCCGGTGAGGGTCGGGCTCTGCTCCCGGGGAAGAAGCGACAGGACAAGAGGACAGAGCCTTAAGCTCCACCAGAGGAGGTTTAGATTGGACATCAGGAGCAATTTCTCCACAGAAAGAGTGAAAATGTAAGTGTAAATTAACTTCTTTACGTTGAGGGTGGCATAGCCCTGGAACAGCTGCCCAGGGAGGGTGTGGAGTGTCCCTCTCTGGAGACATTCCAAACCCAGCTGGGCGCGTTCCTTTGTCACCTGTTCTAGGTGACCCTGCCTTGGCAGGGGGTTCAGACTGGGTGATCTCCAGAGCTCCCTTCCCACCCTATCAGTTCTGGGATTCCGTGCTTAGACACTGGAACGGGCTGCCCAGGGAGGGCGGCGGAGTCACCCGTCCCCCGGGAGGTGTTTAAGGAAAGACTGGGCGTGGCACTCGGTGCCGCGGGTCTCGTTGACGAGGCGGTGTTGGGTCACAGGTCTCACTCGGCGATCCCGCGGGTCTTCTCCAACCCCACCTCATCCCGCCTTTCCGTGAGGGACGGCGCTGGGAACGCTCTCCCTCAGGGGCGGAGGGGGTGGTGCTGAGGCGGCGCGTGCGCAGCCCGCGCGCGGCACCGCGCGGGGGCGGGCCCGGAGGGGAGGGGAGGGGGGAGCTCTGTGCGCGCATGCGCGGGCGGCGCGGGCGCCCCCCCACCCCCCGTGTGTGTGTGTGAGTGAGTGAGAGTGGCCGGGGGTGGCCGCGGCCGCCCCGCACCGCGGAACACAGAGCAGAACGGGACCCGCACACAGCCCCCACCGCCGCCCGCAGCACCGGCCCCGCCGCCATCCATCCCCGCACCGCAGGTGAGCTGCGCTGTCGCGGTGGGGAGGAGGAGGAGGAAGAGGAGGAGGAGGAGGAGGAGGGAGCCGGCGCCCGCCTCCGCGGGGCTCATTGTCCGGCTGCTCGGAGGAGGAGGAGGGAGGAAAGGAGGCTTCACCCCGGCTCGCACGCCGGGCCCTGCAGGGCTGTTGCCGGCAGGGGATTGGAGGCGCTCCGTCCCCTCCCAGATCCGGGGAGGGTCCCGGCCCCCCCGGGGCTCGCCGCCCACCTGCCACCGCCTCCGCCGCGCTCGGGGGCGGCGGGGACGGGGCCGGGGCCGGGTCCTGCTGGGGGTGGGGGTGTGTGCCCGGGACCCCCGGGATGGGCGTGGGATGCAGGGATGCGGGGCGAGATGTTCACCCACGGCACCTGCGGGAGCGGCCCGAGGGCGGGTGATGCCCGGGACACCCCCGTGCTGTCCGCGGAGCCCCCGGGGACGGCAGGGCTGGTGCGGGGGCCAGAGGGCGGCCGGGGCGGAGCGGTGGCTGTGGCGGTGAGATACCGCTATCCATCGGTCCTGCCCCGGGGCTGGGCCCCGAGGACCGGGACGCGAGGGGCAGGGCGAAGGGGCGGCGACACGAGGGACAGGACAGCGCACAGGGATGGGGACACGAGGGACAGGGCATAGGTAGGGCATCAACACCAATATAGCGCTGATTTTATATAAACCAGGGTAATTTCAGAGCCCCGAGTGGCCTTGCGTTAGACGGAGGGTGGACAAATAAACGGTGTTTGTTTGACACAAGGAGTGTTTGGCATTATTCCTGTCCTGGCAGCAGATACTGGAAAAGCAATTCTGTGGATATGTTTGAAACCACGATGAGTGGTGGTGACAGGTAATAGTTTGGAGTAACTTGTCTCTCTGTGTGTTTAGCACAGGCCTGGTGAAATTCCATGGGGGTGTTTATCTACTTGAGAGTCCCTTATAGTGACACTATTTGAGGGATCCTTATGCTGACAGAAGGTGCCTTTGCACAGGTCCTACTCCTGCTCCACCCCTTTTCCTGTGCTAAATTAGGGGGTTTTACTATGACAACTAGGAGAGATGGAAACTATTTCATTTCAATGGGATAGGTGGATAACCAGGCAGTCGCATGTTTTATAAAGGTCTCTGGCTTCTGAGTTTTTCTCAAGACTGGAAAATATAGGATGCATGATGATGATGATTTTCTTTTTTTTTTTCTTAGCACTGCTTGCCTCTGCAGCTGACTTCATTTTAGTAGTATTATAGTGGTGTTTATTTCTAAGCAAATTGGGTTTAACTTACTATTCAGTGGA